ACTGCTTTTTAACTTGTTACTCATTGCAAAATATTATTTTTTTACTAAAATTTAGTACTTTTCGTATACTTTTAGTACGAATAAAAAGAAGCCCTGTCTTGTCTAACGCCTGCGCATCATTACTGATCCTCGTGCGAAATTTCAAAATTCTAGCTTCAGTCGTTTTGTCTGGCCGTTGATTCTCGATCAATCATTCAGTCAGTTATTTCACAACTCGATCTAAATGTGGTAGAACTATTACTATGTGTAAAGTTTAGATAAGAGTGAATTTTCCTTCGAGAGTTATTGTGCGGACCAACCAGCATGACGAAGGGGCATGGCTTAATCGAACTTCGAATCCATCTGAAACGGGTTTCATCTAAAGAAACATGGACAGAACCATTATTTCCCATAGTATTCATAGAGCTGATGGAATCTAGAGAAGACAATCTCTGCTCAAGGAGTATAAATCCTGCCAAACACCAGCATCCTATTAAATCTATATTTACAGGTACATCACTGATCGAGATTGGTTTGGAATACTGAAAACCCTATTTCTTGCTAAATAAGCCACAACTACAAAATCGTTTTGCCAGCATACACTTTTATACCCACCTAATATCAGCTAACTTCGACGATCTTTTACTTTCTAAATGTTATTAAAATTTATTTTCAGTATAAATAAAATCTAGCCACTTAAATTAATTAAAAAACTTTATAACTTAATATCCCCATGCATTTCAACTAATCTTTGCTCCCATTTCTAGCTGCAGAGGTTAAGTTCCGCTCACATGACAAAAAAAAAACATAATCACGCTTATAAGCACATTTTATATGCCCCGAGATATGTTTATGTGGCATAATTGTAATTAACAAAAAAAAAATCTATGAAAATATTAATATGAACAAATTAACTGATGCTCTCACCCCACACATGTTAGCCGTCAATATTTAGTGGATAATTAAGTCATTTATAATTATGCAGTCCTCTTTGAGTGTCATATTCGCTAAAGTCATAAATCAAAATTTGAAGAAATAAAACAAAACAAAAAAATTGACAAAAGGCGTGCATCTTTGTTGGCTTTGAATATATTTTTTTTTTGCATAGATAATCATTTGTTCAATGAAATAAGTTGATACACTTAAAGAAATTTTTAAAAATTAGTTATTGCATTTGAATATTTTTTGTTTGGTTTTTCAGAAAATTGATCGTCTGACAGCGGAGGAAAACAAAATTTTCAAACTACAGAAATAAATCCGTGAACTAGTAAGTGCAACACTAAATGCGTTCAAAAAATTAGATTTAATGTATGGAAAAACGAGACCACCTATAATAATGCAGAAGAATCTCCATAATGCCATGTGGCTACAGAGGATATGGCCAAAACGCGTCCGATTGAAATAACGGTTTTAGACCCAATGTCTCTTCGGACCAAATTTGTTTCAGGACATTTGGTGTCGATCTAGATTTGTCCATCCATCTGTCTGTCTGATGGCTGCTATTGTGCGCACGATAGCTCTCGAAGTCAGTAACCGTCTTGATCTAAACTTAGTATATAGTAATATCTTTGTCAAACTTTAAACGAGCTCGGAGATGAGCAATATCGTCCCACTCCTTCTGGTATCTCCGCAACCAAAATTTCACAGAAAATAATTTACGGTATAAAACAAGAAAATATCATTCAGTTTTGGTTAAACTTTGCAAATCCTATTATTTTTTATGTCATTGCTAGGACGGGTGCGAAAATTGACAATATCGGCCCACTCCATCATGCAACTCCCTTTGTGCGGTCAACATTTTGAATTTGGTAAAAAAAACGATTAAAAAGGCAGCTAAGTTCGACCGGGCCGAACGTTTAATACCCTCCACCATTTGGAAGAAACTTAAAAATCATCAAAATACCGAATATCGGGATGTGCCGTCATATGGGGTATACGATATCGTGGACATATTCGACCTCTTCGATGACAGGGATAAATCGAATTTTACGCTGATCAAGAATATAGTTACTTTGTTGGGTCTAAAATTATTATTTCGATGAGTTACACACGGAATGATGAACTTAATATACCATCCATACTATGTATGGTGGAGGGTATGAAAACTTGCAGCAGTGCTAATCAGTTCCGGCCTGATGTTTTAAAAGTATCTAAAACACCCACAAAAAACCCAATACCAGTATGAAAACGGACATGTATTCTGGTGAATAAAGTGCACGTCGCATTTATATCCGATTAAGATGATATTTTGCAAACAATATTTGTTTGGCCCAAGAACGAACTCTATTGAAATAGGTGATAATCGGATCCCATATATATCCTCAACCGAATTCGGGTGATTGTGCTCCAAATGACCAATATCTATCCAAAAGTCCTGGGTTTTGGTTCATCCGATCTAATTCTGTTTAGAAGCAAGTACATTAAATTTGGATAAAATCGGTTCATATATAGCTAAAGCTCTCATATATATGTTTCATCCGATTTGGTCAACAACAATGCTTGGTACCAGATATATTATAGAGCTCGGCCTTTGCCAAATTTCATCATGCACATCTAAGAATTGGATATTACTCGCATATATATCCTTAATCCGATTTCAGGTTAATTTTGAAAATAATGGCTAATATCAGCCCAAATGGACTGAATTTTGGGATGTACGGTTTCATTCTGTGGAACTCGCCTACAATATATATTTTTATACCATACAACACTATGTGTTGGGGGTATTATAAGTTTGATTGGGCCAAAAATTATGTAACACCTTCAAATATTGGTTTCCCACATAGGAAAATACAAATGGATCTTGCTATCCCGCAGAGCTGAGTCGATCTAGCTATGTATGTCCGTCCGTCCGTTTTTCCATGATTCTCATCTCTCTCTGATTCTTACGAAATTTAGAATGGTGGTGGGGATAGGGCCAGAATAGAAGCCTTTTGATTTTGGATATAATAGCATAATATTTAGGGGTTGAAATGGACCAAAAACTGAAACTGAAAATTTCCTGATTTTGCAGTTGCTCCACAGGTCGCAATTATGGACCCATCGAAGCGGAAATTTGACGGTCATCATGTTTTATTTAGTGGTTGAAATAGATCATAACATTTGTTTAAATAAAAATTACATTTTCCATTAAACCCCAAATATTTTAATTACCGGCGAAATAACAATTAGACGAAAAGGTCAATTCTGAGCGTTATGTAGATGCCGAGAGTAAATATATCGGACATATATAGCGAAATATATACAATGTGTATATACAAAGCAAGGGGATGTTAGCTAGAATGCTTATATCTCAAGAATGGTTGTACCGATTTTGACAAATGTCGTCAATTCAGAATGCCATCTTGGCACTAAAGTATAAAATCTAAAAAAAAATCGCTTTAAAAGATGTTAATAAGGATGTTAGTATGGATTGTTAATATTTTGTGACATTTTTTTATTTTTTCATATTTATTATCGCAATCGGTTTTTTCAATTTGACTTAAAATATTCTGTCTATTTTGTAATATTTTTTCACCTTACAACACAAGTTGGGATTATTATATGCAGATTACAAATATCGTCTGATCCTCGTAAGGGTTCAGTTAGGCTCAGAAGGACTGGGACAATTGTTTTTAAAATTGATCGCAATATATTAAGGTGTTGAAATAGACCAACAACTTGTTGTTGTTGATTTTGCAGCCGGTATTAAAGTCACAAATAGAAACCAAAGGACACGAAATCTCGCATAAAATGATCCTAAATACTCAAAAGAACTTCTGGCTTTTTATGCTGATTTCGTTTACGAATATAGCAAAATATCGTAGACAAGCAAATCATATAGATGAGTCCAAATTTGGAGATACAGGGGGCCTCTTTCATTTGGAGATGATCACAAAATATTTAGGGGTTCAAATGAACCAAAAACAAAGAAACTTGCCTGATCACACAATTGAAACCAATCGACCCGGAATTTTCCATGAAAATAGAGTTAAGGATAGGGATGAAATCTATAATTTTTTATGACCACTGGATTACATTTAGCTGTAAAATGGACCACAACAACTTACAGCACGAAGGAGTGCCTAAATATTTGGCAAATGTCTCTGATTAAAAGGCTAAGGGTAATATCTGGGCATTGCTCTATGCCATAATTTCAAAAGCGAAATCTTCCAAAATGGATTTTAATATATTGTAGTATTGTAGGGTATCACATGGTCGGCCTCGCATGACTATAGCTCTTGTTTACTTGTTCTAAATATAATCCTGTTATGTTATTTTGTAGAAAAGATTTAAATGTCTCCGTCAAATTTAGTGAAAATGCTTCCACTATATTAGTTCCGTCTGAAACCAAATTATAATTGCACTAAAGCCAAATATTGGTAGGTGGTTTGATCTACTTCAAATAAACGGGAGCTCTACTAAGAAAGCATGGTGGTTTAGGGTATCATATAGTCGGCCACGCAAGACTTTTGAATATTCCTTACTGGTTTTTAAATGCTAATATAAAATTGGTTTACCTAATAAAAATAAACTGTAGCAGTTTAATTTTCCTCAGTGTAGCTAACAGACTTAATCACAACATAACGTATTTGCGTGTGACAAATGTCTTTCAGAAGTCAATAGAATCTTTCAAATACTTTTGAAAAAATAGCAGTAAATTATTTATATTTTTAGAATTTTGTGTTTTCCACTAAATATTGTTTAAGGCAAAACAAATAATATTGAATTAATGTTGGTCATTTTTTTCATATCTACATTTTGCGTTGTTTTCTCAATCTTTTCTTTTGATTTTTGCTGCATGCTGGTTTTGCTGGCTGTGATTTTTTTTTTATTCATATACTTCGCCTCTCCTTAGCGCCGGTGTCGTTGTTGTTGTTGCTGTTGATGCCATGGAAACTTTGTAAGAAGCAAATGAATAAAAAAGCCAAAAAAAAAAAAAAATATATAAAACATAAACTTGTTTAACCCTGTCTTACAACAACAACAACAACAGAGAACCGACGTCTGAACTTGCGTGCGGTAGGTCTGCTGATAGCTGGACCCTGCGAAAAAAATAGTTTTTGGCTATAAATTGGCAAGTGCGATTGCCGAAGAGCATCAGTTCCTTCGCTCACTTCACAAAGATCAGTGGTCTTGCATTCACATCAAAAATCTTTCAAAATGGTTAGTATAACATAAGCGATACCCTTTTGGGTTTTGCCTTTTCGGATTAAATTTAATGCAGTTGAAACAAAAAATCGTAATTGAATACTTTTCATTCTTTTTTTGTAGAAATTTTTCGTAGCTGCTTCTTTTGCTCTTTTGGCTTTGGCCTCCGCCGATGTTAGCCATTTGGCCAACAACTATTTGCCTCCTGTGCAACAGAGCTACTCTGCCTCTTCACCATCCAACGAATACTTGCCTCCTGTGCAGAGCACCTACTCTGCCCCTACCGCCAGTTATTCTGCTCCAGCTGTCCAGACCACTTACTCTGCTCCCGCTGTTCAATCCTTCTCCAGCTATTCCGCCCCAGCCCCAGCTGTTCATGAACACTACTCTGCTCCAGCCAGTGAATACTTGCCACCTGTTCAAAGCTCTTACTCTGCTCCATCTGTCAGCTACTCCGCCCCAGCTGTCCAGGCCACCTACTCTGCCCCAGCTGTCCAGACCACCTACTCTGCCCCAGCTGTCCAATCCACCTACTCTGCTCCAGCTGTCCAAACCACCTACTCTGCTCCTGCCGCCACATACCACCAACAATCGTTCTCCGCTGGCTCTGGTAGCTACTCATCCGCTGGTGCTGATGTTGGTACTCAATATGCTGCCAACGGTGGTTATGTCTACAAGAAGTAAATCACATGTGAGCTTTGAAGGGCTGTGATTTGCGTTTCAGCTTGTTATAGTATTTTTCTCACTCAGTTGTATAGTTTCATTTATGCGTAATTGTTATATCCATTTTAATGTTAAAATTAAATCAATTCAATATTTTTTTTAAATAAAAACTTTTTTATACGATATTAAAAAGGAATGAAGACTAATTTTAATAGACACAGCTTCGTCGCATTTCCGATTACACTGTGCAACACAACAACACATAATTACATGGAAAATCCAGCAGATTATCAGAGTAGAACTAAAAAAGCAGTAAAGTTCGGCCGGTTCTAACATTTAGAACTCTCCACCATTTTGAAGGAACTTGAAAAATTTACAAAACAAATCCGTCGAAAAATACCACTCAAAGGAAACCCGTTATACAGGGGCTTAATGGAGACTTGATGCTTAATAAGGCTTTAGTACCCGTTATGAACTACAACCGTCACAGGTTGTAGTACCCATTACGAGCTTCAAGTACGAAATTTGAAACAATTCCGGTTAATAATGGCTTCAAAACCATCTAACTACCGAATATCGGGGGTACCGTTGTATGGGAGCTGTACGAAGACGTGGACCTGCAAACGCAATGTTTATACCCTACACCATAGTATGGAGGGTATTTGTAACTCCTAGAAATATACATTTTTGACTCCTCAAAGTATATGTATTTTTCATCAGCATAAAATTCTATGTCGACTTAGCGATGTCCGTGCGTCTACCAGTCTGTGGAAATCACTCTAGCTTCCGAACAAAATGAAGTAGGTTGAAAAAATTTTACTTAAATGTAAAATGTACAAAGTCTGCAGAACTTTTGATATTGAAAATGCGCAATGTAGGTCCACATTTTGGTATAGCCCCCTTATAATGGTAACTCCTGATATTCGGTATTTTGATGATTTTAGCGACATTATTCACCTGAATTGTTTCAAATTTGGTATTTGAAGTTCGTAATGGGCACTACAATCTATGGCAGAAAATTGTCTGTGCAGGTCCATGCCTTGGTATAGCCCCAATAAAATGATACTTCCGTATATTCGGTATTTTGATGATTTTAGCGACATTATTCATCGATTTTTTTCAAGTTTTGCATTTGAATACTGTAATGGCTTATGACAAAAGTTGCCTTTGCAGGTCCACGTCGTCGTATAGACCCTAATATAATTAGAATTTTTAACGGATTTAATTCTTTGAAAATTGCCAAATTCGGTGGAAGGTATTCAATGTTCGGCCCGGTTGAATTTACAGCTTTTTTACTTGTTATAATTTAAGCCACATTTTCTATCGTATTTGTATATATATATCGGTATTTGTATTTCAAATCAACCGTGTCAAAACATTGTCCATATTGGTTTAAGATTTCCAAAAAGCCGGTACCCACCGATATTCAATATATTGATGATCTTACCCACATTTACCAGCTCCCATATATATCTTTTTCCGATTTCAGGTTTTTTTTTGCACCCAAATGGATTGAATTTTGGCACTTCCGAAGAAATTCTGAAAAAAACAAGTGCTTTAAATCGTGAAAATCGGTTAAGAAATAGCTATATCTGCCATGTACGAGTGTATGTTTCATCCGATTGGGTGCTATATAGATCCCATATATGTATATGTTTTATCCGATTTGGGGTTAAAAGTCCCTCACAACAGTAATATACATTCCACAACAATGATATTTTGTACCAGATATCAGATACAACTCTGAAATGAGTCAAGATCGGTTCAGATTTGGATATAGCTAGCATATATATCCTCAACTGATTTCGGGTTAATTTTGCACCAAATACCCAAAATCAGTTCAAATGAACTGAATTTTGGTACATCCGACCCAATTCAGTCCTATATATATGTCTCATCTGATTTGGTTTTTAAGTCCTTCATATTCGTAATATGCATTCGACAAAAATAATATTTGGTCCCCGGAAATACCTCTGTCAAGCTTTATTACGATTAGATCTGATTTGTATATAGCTGTCATATATATCTTCAACCGATTTCGGATTAATTGTGCTCCAAATGACCAATATCAGTCGTAATGATCTGAAGTTTGGTACATCCGGCCGAAAGCAAGTACATCAAATTTTGAAAAAATCGGTTCAAATGTAACTATATCTCCCATATATATGTTTCATCCGATTTGGTGTTTAATTCGTAATATGCATCCGACAACAATGATATTTGGTACCAGATATCTTATAGAGAATTTTATCGAGAACAACTAAGATATTGATGTAGCTCCCATATTTATCCTTAATCCGATTTAAGGTCTATTCTGCAAAAAGTGGCTAGCATCAATCCCGAAATACACTCCATTATATTTTTATACCACAAGGTGGTCAGGGTATTATGTCTTTGTGCATTTGTTTGTAACAGGCAAAAGGAAACGAGATAGACCCATAGTTCCTTTTGATGATCTGCATAGAATCACATTCTGAGTCGATTTATGCATGTCCGTCCGTCTATCCATGTACTTTTGTAAACAAAGTGCAGTTCGCATTTATTGCCCTATCCAGATTAAATTTTGCACAAATAATTTGTTTGGCCCAAGGATGAACCCTATTGAAATTGGAGATAATAGGTCAAAATTTAGATATAGCTCCCATATATATCTTCGTCCGATTGGCTTTTATTGAGCACCAAACGTGTAATATCAGTCCGAATAGTATGAAATTTTGCACGTACGAACAGATTGGACCTGAAAATAAGTATGCCAAATTTTATCGAAATCGGTTCAGATATAGCTATAGCTCCCCTATATATTGTTCATCCGATTTGTTATTTTTGTCCTCCGCAGCCGTAATATGAACCCTGTAACAACAATATTTGGGGAAATATATCAAATACAGCTCAAAAATACATTTGCTAAATTTTATCGAGATCGGTTCAGATTTTGATATAGCTCCCATATATATTTTTATCCGATTTCAAATTAATTGTGCACCAAATGGGCAATACAAGTCCGAATTGAAAAGATGCAAATGCTTCGGCATATTTAGTCCTTTAAATAATAATATAATCATAGCATGTATGATTAAATTCTCCCATAAAAACTTTTAATTGTTATGTGGAGCTCTACTAAATTAGCAAAGTGGTGTAGGGTATCATAAAGACTTTAAGACTTTCTTTACATATTTTTGTTCTGATTTTATTTATTTTTATTTATTTATAATTTTAGCCTAACCTCCATATATCTTCTGCATTATTCTTAAATATACTTGTCAACTTAATTACGTGAGAGTTTTAATTTTAATTGCTATGTTATTTCATAGGTTCTACTCAGCAGCAGGCAATTGATTCATACAAATTTCAAAATTAATTTTATTACTATTTTTATGTGTTTAGATGCCTAGGAATACAAAAACAAAACTGGTTTAGCCTCATTTACAGCAATGGCAAAAAAAAACCAAAGAACAAACGTCGGCAATTGAATTGCGTTCATTATTCTGAGGATTGATACCCTGTAATACCATAGTTTTTTGCTATAAATTGGCAAGCGGGATTTACGCAGAGCATCAGTTCCTTGTTTCATTTCAAAACGATCTGTGCTCAAGCATTTGAAAACTAATTCTATTTAAAATGGTAAAAAATATTTTAAATTTAAATTTTTATAAATTTCTACTTATGTTTTTTGTTGTTGTTTTTACTCCTGTAGAAACTATTCGTAGCTGCTATTTTTGGCCTTTTGGCTTTTGCCTCTGGCGATGTTAGCCATTTGTTGAATACGTATTTGCCACCATTCCAGCAAAAATACCCGGCTCCATCGAATCAATACTTGCCTCCCGTTCATAACACCTATTCTGGTCCAGCACTGCAATCATTCTCATCTTATTCTGTTCGCCAACCTGAAAATATTTACTCTGCTCCAGCCGTGCAATCATTCTCATCCTATTCTGCCCCGACGGTGCGTCGACATCAGCAATATTTTTCTGCTCCTTCTGTTGAATATTTACCTCCAGTCCACACAAGTTACTTGGCCCCTGCTACTTTCCATCAACAATCATTTTCCACTGGTTCTGGAAGTTATTCCTCAGTTGGCGCTGACATTGGTACTCAATACGCTGCCAACGGTGGTTATGTCTACAGGAAGAAGTAAATATTTGTCATTAGTTGTCCTTAATGTTTGCGAACATTCCTACAATTATCGTCAAAGTAATTAGAAGTCATGTAATGTTTGCAGAAAATGATTAAGACAATAAATTAAATTTTTCTAATGTGCATCTAAAATTTATCCCTTCGTTGATAGCATTTTCATTTAGCTGGGTTTCGCAATAAACAAGAAAACTAAAACCCCATACTAAATTTATTCTAGAAACCTTTAAATTTTTTTCTCTTTTGGAATTTATGGGAAATGACTTAACTGTAAAAAAACCAGTAAAGAAAGTCCTAAAGACGGGCGGGGTCGACTTTCCCTACACCACTTTGCTAATTTAGTAGAGCTCCACATAACAATTAAACGTTTTTATGGGAGAATTTAATCATACACGCTATGATTATAATTATAATTTAAAGTTCAAAGGACTAAATATGCCGAAGCATTTGTACGAAGTTATATATGGGAGCTATATCGAAATCTGAACCGATCTCGATAAAATTTAGCAAAGGTATTTCTGAGGTGCATTTGATATATTTTCCCAAATATTGTTGTTACAGATTGTATATTACGGCTGCGGAGGACAAAAATAACAAATCGGATGAACAATATATATGGGAGCTATAGCTATATCTGAACCGATTTCGATCAAATATGGCATACTTATTTTCAGGCCTAATTTGGTTGTATGTGCAAAATTCCATACTACTCGGGCTGATATTACACGTTTGGTGCACAGTAAAAGGCAAATCGGACGAAGATATATGGGAGCTATGTCTAAATTTTTACCGATTATCTCCAATTTCAATAGGGTTCGTCCTTGGGCCAAACAAATGATTTGTGCAAAATTTCATATCAATCGGATAATAAATGCGACCTGCATTTTGTTCACAAGAATACATGGACAGACGGACTGATATGCATAGATCAACTCAGAAAGTGATTTTATGGAGATGCTCAAAAGTATCTATGGGTCTATCTAGCTTCCTTCTCCATGTTACAAACAAATGTACAAAGATATAATACCCTTTTTGGTTTAAGGATGCGCAACTAGGCTTAAGTCGGCAGCTCCTTCATTTGGATAACTTTGGTAGATTTTGTATATCCTAGGAGAAACAAGCAGTTAAGTTTGACCGGGCCGAACTTTTAATACCCTCCACCATGTTGAAGGAAATTGAAAATTTACCAAAAAAAATCCGTCTAAAAATAACCCTCAAAGGAAAACCGAAATATAGGGTCTTTAGAAAGACGTGGTCCTGTATAAGTAATTTTTTGTCATAATCTGTACTACCCATTACAATTTTCAGACAATTCTCCGTCATAGGTTGTTGTACCCATTATGAGCTTCAAATACGAAATTTGAAACAATTCCGGTGAATACAGAATATAGGGACGTATTGTTATTGAGGAGCTCTACGAAGACGTCGACCTACATAGACAATTTTTCGTCATATGTTGTATTTGAAACAATTCCAGTAAAAAATTTAGCTAAATCATCAAAATACCGAACACAGACAGTAAAGTACTCACAAGGAACTCCATGTGTGGATTCTCAGACAATTCCAATATTATTCATTATTTTGGTCAACATAGTTAACCCTCAAGCGTTTGTCCAAAGGGATATTTTTGGTCCTTTTTTGAAAATATTGTTCAAACTCACTTTGAACGGAATCGTGCATATAAAAATATCCAAGAAAATTATTTGTCATAAAGGTTAAGCCGTACAGGGTGAGATAAAAAAACTGCAACAAAGTCAAACGCCATAATTTTACATTTTTTTTAAATTTTATTGAATGAAAGCAAACAAAAATCGGAAATAGCATCAAATTTTAGTATAGAGTATAAGTATAGATTTGTTCGAATTTGTCACTTTTGGCACGAATTATGGCCTTCAAACGGACAATGAAACCGTCACTCGCTGCCCGAATGTTGCTCTGCGGTATTTTGGCCCAACGGATTGGTATCCAGAGATTTTGGTGGCCATTGTGCGCTGGAAATGAAGCGAGGAACCTCATTTTGTAACCATTCTTGGGTGGCGCGTGCTGAGTGCGATGGTGCTCAGTCCTGTTAGAATGCCCAAGGTAATACACCCTCCAGAATTTCAATGGCTTTACCCCGAGCTCATTTTGCAATATTTGCCGAATGGAATATTGATATATGTTCAGCTCACATGCCATTTTTCGGGTTTCGATGAAGTCGCTTCTTTACTTTTCGAATCATTTCTGCTGATGTTGCTGTTGTCTTCAGTCCACTTCCGTGACGTCGGGCTACGCTGCCAGTATCACGGTAACGAGCGATAGTACGAGACTCAAAAGATTTATTCACAATAAAATGCTGGAGTGGTCTAATGATAGCCACTTGTGGCTTTCCAACGAAATATAAAGAAATCACACTATCACGCTTGAATTCCATTACGAATAACTTTTTTTTTTTGAAAAATTCTCACCAAAATTCTTTTTTACGCTTGTAAACAATATAATGATCTGTCACTGGAATAATTTTAACAGCTGTCGGACGAGTGGCTTAGAAATGACAGCAGTCTGAAGTTGGTTGCAGGTTATTCATCTCTGTGTATTTATGCCTGTGATGACGTCAAAGACAAAAATATTCTATTCTTTTTAAATTTCACCATAAGTCTTCAGAGAAAAAGAAATCTCTATTTGCATTATAGATCAAGAAATATTTGAATTAATCTTGCCAGAAAAAAGTGAAAATATTTCCTTCTCTTCATGGAATTTTCTTCGTTCTCTTTTCGAGTTAATGCATGCTGGTAACATAAACTTTGATTTCTGCAAAAAGGGTCAAAAGAAGAAATATTCTGCACAAAATTCCTCTAGATTACCGGTTTTTGTTTTTCAGGAGAAATGTTTAAATTTAAAATTCGCTCCAACAGTTTGTATTAGCCTATGACATATCTGACAAGCCTATGACAAAAAAAAAAAAAAAAAAATACTTATGCAGGACCACGTCTTCGTAAAGCCTCAATAAAACGGTTTTCCTTAGAGCGGTATTTTCGACTGAATTTTTTGGAACATTTTTAAGTTACTTCGAAATGGTGGAGGGTATCAAATTTACAATTTGCGCAGTTAGACAAATCGTTCTAATCAAAATGCATAGTACTAGACTTTTAATTATATTCAAAATATATTCAAAATATATATCCCAATTTCAGATACAATCAATTATCTAAACATCGAATTTCGGAATTTTACCTCTATCCTTTGAACAAATACCAATTTAGTAATATTTGTACATCTGGTACAATTATAGTACACATTTCCAAAACCACCTCCATATCTTAACCACACACACCAACAGTGACATCCATATACAATTTCAGGATTTCAACTCTATTTCTTCACCCAATACCGAATTTTGTACTTCTCGTACAATTATATATTACAACAAGTAAGCAAAGGCTACAGTCGAGCGGGGCCGACCGTTGAATACCCTGCAACACTATAATAAACGATACTGTTTATATAGGCGAGATACTCGAAAGAATTCCACAAGATATTGTGACAAAGTATAAAAGAAAACCATCAGGTTTCGTTCTCTAATTTTCGAATAATTGCAACTTAAACTAATTTGCTCATTTCCGATTTATAGGTAGATGTTGCACGTAAATGGTCTTCCTAGATCTGGGATCAATATTTCCCAAAGACCTATAATCTCTCAGAAGTGGCAAAAGATTAACATTTATTATTGGTTTTTGACTTAAACGCATCTATATGAGATACAGACATTTGACTATATTCTTCAACGAAATCAGCCTTAACGAAATAGTCAGAAGTGCGTCTTTCCTGTATTTGTGAATTCTCCAAAAAGTCACTGGAATGGATATTTTCGTATTTTGTCTACAAAAGTTGGCAAACTATTTCGCACATTGAATATTTTTGGATGGCCATCCAAAACTATTTGGCTTTTGCAATGTCCGGTAACCTCCATTCAAATGCGATCGGGCGACAATTACGACCTGTTGACAATTTTGCAGTTTTTTGGACCATTTCAACCCCTAAATATATTGCGATCATCTCCAAAAAGAGTATGCTTCTATTCTGACCCTCATCTTATACTCATGCAAAATTTCGGGCCATAAATGCGATCTGTATATGATATCCTGATATCCTAACTACTTAGTTTTGTTAGCTGTAGAAATATTACCAAATGTTTAATTCAAAATGAAAATATGCCAAAAATATGACAAAATTGAAAAAATATGAGAAAATGTTACAAAATCAATATTTTCATCTTTAGAGAGATATTTTTATGCGATTTTTTTAGACGTTTTTTGTTTCCTGCCAAGAGGCCATTCTGAATTAATGAGAACTGTCGAAATCAGTTCAGCCGTTCTCGACATATAAGAGATCTTTCAAGCATATCTTCTTTGATAGACATATATATCGCACATATTTTGCTATATATCCGATTTGTTGGATGTTAACATCAATATAAAGGTCAGAAGTAACCTTGTCAAGGCTTCGTGATTTCGCCGGGATTTAAAATATTCGCGGTTTAATGAAAAATGTTGAATTTTTTCAACACAAAATATATGGTCTATTTTACCCGCTAAATATTATCCGATGACAACCCTAATTGGTAGGCTTCTTCCCCGCCCTAAACTCTAGCTACATGCGAAGTTCCGCGTCGATTGGTCTATAATTGCGACCTGTATAGCTACTGCAAAATCCGATATTTTTCAGTATTTGGTCCATTTCGACCCCTATATTATGCGATCATCTCCAAAAGAAATAGGGTTGTATTTTGACCCTAGCCCCACCTCCATTTAAAATTTCGTGAAGATCGGACCATAATTGCGACCTGTAGAGTGATTACAAATTAACACGGACAGACGGACAGACGGACGGACGGACATACATAGCTAGATCGACTCAGCTCGGCGAGCCAGGAAGATCCATATATACTTTCCTATATGGGAAACCAATATTTCGAGGTGTTACATAAATTCTGGCCCAATCAAACTTATAATACCCCCAACACATAGTGTTGTAGGGTATAAAAATCACATCCATACCCAATACCAAATTAAGAACCATACAGTAATTTTCGTATAATATTGGTACAAATTTCAAAAAC